GGCTTTTTAAAAACAAATCATGTCCTTGTTTAATTTACAGGACTTGGTTTAAGTGTGTAACAGGCTGTAATTTCATGTCTCCAAAGTGATGACTGTTTGGTGGCGGCGGCTGCTCTGTGTGTGCGTGTGTGTGTGCATGTGTGTGTGTGTGTGACCAGGCAGAGGGGCTAAAAGAGATGCTGACTTCTATGCCCGTCGCCTGGAAGACTAGCTTGGGCTCATTATCCTGATAAAATTTGCGCAGATGTGTGAGCTGCCGACAGACTCTGCAGTGACACAAACAGCCAGCTCTGTCCCCCTGAGCCAGTCAGGTGATGGAAACCGGGGAGGCACGGGGGCTGAGAAACGACGGCCATTAAGCAAAACAGAAAGAGGTGAGCGAGAGTGGAGGATGGCGGCTGTGTGAGCGCGTGTTTGTGTGCGAGTGTGGGCCGGGCTGGGCGGGTCGGGCGGGTAAGCGGGGGGGCATTACATAAAGTAACCATTTCCAAAACCGGCTTCTTAAAATTCAAGGCGAAAATGAAAGCGTGCTTCCGCGCGCAGGGCACCTCCTCACGAGGCGCTAATCTGGCCGTATCCAGATGACGAGCAGACTGCCACTTAACAGGGAGGAGATCCACTTTGATCACATGGCCCCCGGGGTGAACCTATTGCACTGCCTATTACGCTGCTTCATTTACATATGCGGGCGCTTGTGTGTAAGCTGAGATCTAGTGTGGATGTTCTACACTGCAGCAGGGCTCACTGTAGCTGGGAGGAAATGTCCTGGATGGGTGCGGAGAAAAGACAAGTGCGCTGCCAGCACCTGGAGGTGCAGCAAGCACTACCCACTCGTCACAGGAGGGTCACCGGTTCAACAGCAGAAAACAGCAAAGTTCCCCCAAAAAATAAATACAGTGGCCGAAATTGAAACAGAAGAGGAAAGTCATTAAACGTTCCAGAAAGACATTAAAAATGACCCATAAATACAGTTCAAGTGGCTGACATTATAATGGGAGCTAACTTGTGGAAAAGTGCAGAACTGAGTGTAAAGTGAGAAAAGTGCACACACGCTCAGTAAACTTTCCCTGGATGAATGCTTTTCTTATTTCTTCATTTTCAAAGCGCAAACAACTAAAAAGAAATCCCATCTGCTCCCTAAGTTCTGCATCAACAATAACAACAGGTGAGTACCGCCTGTTTTATCCCCTTGCCTACTTAGGAAAGTCTACAGATGTGCCACGCAATCCTCTTGATCCTTGTTAGTGAGCCAAGGACTGAGAGCACTCAGTGAAGATGTTCTGCTGTAAACACCCACTAAAAAAAGCTCAAATGCAAACTTCCGCTGTGAAAGAACAATTTTGTTTGCGTAAACAACATTAACCATCCGTTAAAGATGTGCGGTCTTCTTTCGGAGCTCCGCTGGGATTGCGTTCAACACAATCTAGACCAATGCTTGAAACATGTGGCGCCATCCAACCAAAAACAGGAGCACAGTATCAGTTGATGCCGTTCTCAGTTTAAAATACTTGAGTTAGCGTGATATCTTGGCCCACTGGGAAAAGCAATAACTTTTCTTCTTTTTGTTGTTCACACCTCTAGTAGATGATGCAGCGCATGAATTGGTAAGTGCGACGCACATAAATAAATGTATGGTTTTACAGAACAATTGGATGGACTGCATCTGGACTAATCCACAGTAAAAGAAAGACAATCTGCTTTCCCCATATTTATCTGTCATGCATTGTTGCATTATTAAGATTGAGAGACATTTTATGAACCTGTGACACAGAAACCGACAGAAAATTAAAAGAATCGTGCAGGGCTCGTCGAAAAGTTGTCCAAATTCAAGCGGGTGATGGATTAAGACGCGGGCTGCATGACAGGAGGGCAGAGGGCAGGATGTCTTTTGTGAGCTGAGAAATTATTTTCCACGCGGTAGCATCAAGCAACGCAAATAATTCCCCAAACTTTTTTTTTTTTTAAGGTCCGGCTTTAAATGGCATTACATATGTAGTGAAGCATGAAAAATTAATGTGCTGGAGTCGGGGAAATGTCAAGGGTAATGATCTCCGCGGCAGCTTACCTCCTTAGCTTTCTGTTTCAGTCGAGCCTGCTCTGGGTCCTCTTGCCTGGAGCGACTCTGTGGAGTAAAGGAGGGAGGGGGGGGGGGGGGTACACAGGTTAACAGCTGGTTTAGGAAGCCCACCCTCCCATTTTGCCACTCATCTGTTGCTGCAGCAGCAAAAATAGTGCAAAATGGGAACAGGATACAGAGGTGTCAAGGACATTGTATCTGAATTCAGAGAAGTGCAATGGAGCACGCCCCCGGGGGGCAGTGGCCTTTAAACCTGCTCCAAATCCAGCCCTAAATAAGCTGCTGGAGGGGGATTCTAATCAAAAGAGGTTATTAAAAATTCTGCACGAGCCAGCAGACACGCACTTGCACAGGCACACACTCACACACACACACAGACACACACACGGGGGGGAAGGATGTTGGTGACTGTCAGTGGCAGTGGCTGTCTGTGTGCCACTGTGGGCTGGTGTGGCTGCCTCTGTGTCTCTGGCGTAACAACACAGCACTTCTATTTTAATCAGCAGCTATGATCTGGGTGAATGTACTTGTCCCTGGGAATCCTTCACCGCGCGGCCAAATGCACACGTACAGATGACCACTGTGGGCAACGCGGGCGGATCACAGCGCCACACACAAACGGAGGGCCGTTTGGGAATATGGACAAAAGCTGCATTAATCACAATCAGGTGCAGGATCAAAGACACATTTGTGTGCAGGATAAACTCTGAATGACATGCACTTTGAAAAATAGCCAGCCCATCACTGCTACATGCACTTTTCGTGCCTTTTTTAAAACTCTCCATTTGCAAACTATTGAATAATTTGTATGCCATATCTTGAATTAGTCAGAGAAGGCGCTAAATCTCAATCCAAAGCATGACACCAAATTCATCATCACGACTCTTTCTTCCTCTTCCTCCTCCCCTCATCCACTCTGTCGCATGGACAGAGGAGAGCTACAATGCCTTGTTGCTAATTGGCTTTAAATATATCAGGCAGTTCACGTACTGGTCTGTATCTCAACTAAGACTAATGCGTTTGCCCTCTGGTCGGCCAGAGCATCCCCCAAGTCTTGAGTCATATTTTAAATGGCTTGTTGTGAAGGAGGGAGGAGGGAGGCCGAGGGTGGAAGGGATTATTTCTAATTCGCGGGGTCAAATTAGTGGGCGCTCAAGCAAGAGAGACGCGAGCTGGGAGGTGGGTGGCAGTGGGGCGGAGGAGTGGGAGGGGTTGGTACAGATGGACTGTTTACAAAGGCCAGCGGTGCCACTGGCGTGCTCTACATCTCCTCTGTCAGCTGGCCTGGTTTTCCCACTTACAGCGGGAAGCAGGGAGGAGAAGGGGAGACGAGGACCGGGTGCTGCTGTAGACACTGACAAGCTGTGTTGGGTTAAGCGTAATGGAGTGTAGTGCGCTTAAATAACACTGCGCTGTACAGTATGCCATCAATCTGTGCTGCTGAATATACAGTATTGGGGGAGCTTTTTCTTCTCCTGTTATGTTTCAATTTGCTGTTCAGCGAGTTTAGTCTATTTTTAGATTGATGAAAACCAACAGAGATTCACTGCGAAAGAGTTAGAAGTAATTTGTTGTTCTCTGTTCTGTCAGTATCCACTCCCAAATCGAAGGTGAAGCTTGTCATGCTTCTAGCAGTAATATTTCCAAAGGTACATTTTGAAAAGTTTTATTTAAGTTTTTTTCATTTTCCACCAATGGCGCAAAGGGAAAACCTTGTCTACCAAGGTTCCATTAGGGTTCCATCAACTCTTCAATCTCTGATATGAAATTGTAGAGAAAGTTAAATAAGACTAATGCAATATGCATACTGACAGCATATGATTATGGAGTATTAAAATTGTTAACATATCCAGCTGTATATTTCCATAAAAAACAATGTTGAACGGAAAATGATGTGCATGAAAAAAGACTTCATATATTTAAGTGACGTGATGAACATCATCACATTTAAATCCCATCACTGAAAGTCTAAAAAAAAAAATTCAAAGCAAAATGAACTTATATCCACAATCATTTTCTAACAGTTCAGTTTAAAGTGCCTTAGGATGGATTTTTTCTCCTGTGTTTCCCTTCACTCAGCCTTTGAAATTGCCAGCTGAGATCAAAGCTGGTACCCTAAAAAAACAGATGTGATAACTATGTATGCCCCCGTAATATACTTTGAAAGAAGATGTATGACAAAGATACAAAAAACACAATTAAACATCAGGACAGCTGCTGGAGTGCTATCAGATCAGATCTGCTATCCAAACTTCTCCTTGAGCCAAAACGCCATGGCAACAAGAGCCAAAACCGACATGGCTCGGGGGTGAAGTCAAACTTTCCCCAACAAGGATTGTGTAATCTAAATAGCCCTGAGTGAAACTTTCTTTTTTTTTTAAGTTCTTCACTAATCCTGTTAATAGACAGATTTCCACAATTTATAAATACACAAATAAATGCGTTCTAACCATGTAGAATGGGTTGCTGACAAAGGAGATCTAAAAGCTCCATCAGTCTTTTTCAGTCAGCGTGTTTCTGCTGAGGTGATGTCTTTCCTTACAGCCTGCCGGCAGAAATTGTGTGGACGCTCTTAAAAGGAGGTCAGGAGGTGTTGGTGGCCAGTGTTCATCAACTAGAGGTTATTCTAATATCCTACGTGGCAGGACTGGAGCGTATTAACACAATCAAGACAGTGAGGTGTGCTGCAATGAGAATCTTTACTGTGGGACATTGGCTCCATCAGAATTAATTAAATTAACCTAGCTTTCTGCTAATGTGGCACTGCGGGGCATTTTCATTTGCAAAAGTCTACCAATTTTCCTTTTTTTTCAGGGGGAATCTTTATAAATGAAAGGACTTTTAAGTGAAAAAAAAAACTGGCAAAAAAACAGAAATGCAAACGTCCACATGCAGGGAGCCCAGATCAAATTGGTGGACATGTTCAGAGGAAGTGAGCACCCTCTAAATTTCCACACTTTAAAAACTCATTTGTTTTCCTCAGAGTCCAAAACTATGAATATACAAAAACTAACACCACACAAACAGATTTCAGAAGCACACGAACAACATCAGCTTGATGCCAGTGGCTCACAACCACAAAATGTTAGTTAAGAACTGTCAGAAGTCCAGCGTGCTTTAAATGTTTTGTTTGATACTAACGATTAAGTGTGCTCTGCTTTCCAAACCGCTAAAAACATGTCAGTTTATTATGTCTCAGTTTCTTCTTCCTTTTCCACAAATTTAACATAAGTTGTGCAAATACCGCATCTGCTGATTCACTGATTAAGGATTTTTAGAGAGGAACGCCTGCACACTGACTCCAAGCCATAGGTCAAACACAGTTTTTGACCACAGGGAGCTCCCACTGGATTTAAAAAATGTACGTACAAAAATAGACAAAATTTAACATTTGGCTTGTAGTCAGTGTGTCAGTTTGCAAGCTTTTTCAAAGATGTTCAAATCACAATGTGTACCTATTCAGATTTCTTTACTTCAGACTTAGAACCTTAAATATAACGCTTTATTCTTATTCCAGTTCTTATTGCTCCAAGTGTTATTTTCTTGTATCTGCAATCTTATATAATGTTTTCAAATGATTTTTTATTAAAAGGATTGAATCTGTTCTGTAACTGTGTGGCAGTGTCTGGATCAAGATGTGAATCTTTCAAGCTCAATGTCTGATGATACATTTACGGTAATCTGGGAAAATGTATTTATACATATCTTTTTCTCTCTTTTTTTTCTTTTTTTACAATTCTCAATTCAACACTGTTGTCAAGGTATGTAAGGGATGGATAAGTGTCCACCCTCCTCATTGCTTCCGGGCAGGGAGAGTCAGGATGGAGAAGTTCTGGAGACAGGAGCCTGGGAGGTCCCCTCCAGCACCGGGGTGACACACACTGTGACACAACTTTCCCACACTCCCACAACCAGCAGGACGGTGAGGTGACATTAACTTACTTTAGCTGCTTTCAGAAGGATCTCTCTCTCCTGCTCATCCTTCCGCTGCTTCTCCATTCTTTCGAGTTGCTCGAAGAAGCGAAGCTGCGAGCGGACGTCTGCGGACTGCTCGTGGAACTCATCGTCCTGTCAAGCGCACAGAGAGGAGATTACTGCAATGGTAGCATCCCAACAAAGCTCCCAGTCATAGTCACACAAACACTAAAACTGGCATAACTAAAACTGAAATGTCCACAGACCAAGAGAAAAGAAGAGCAGAATTTACATGAACCGAGATTCAGTAAAGAAAAATGACAGCAGACTATCGATCCTTTCTGTCATCACAAACATTTGTAAGATCTGTAAAAAGACATATAAGATCCACTTTTTTAACTGCTTCAATTGTAGAAAAAGTTAAACGAGAAAAGAAATAAAAAGAATAAAAAAAAACTAATTCAAAGAATTAAAATGAACATTCCTGGGATGGCACAACCTAAAAATAACCATTTATTATTTTACAAAAATTGGAAAAATTAGGGATTATTTCAATGTTATTTTGCATTAATGGCAATAATAATGCAACTTTGTATCAGACGATAAGATTTATTTGTCAAAGTGTATCAAAGATACTGATCATTTGAAGCTTGGATTCAGTTGGATTCATCTCTGTTGGTTTGAATCTTTCAGTCACACACTTATTTTTCCTTCTTTTGGCATTTCCACACCTGTTTGTCTTTGTGTATGATTTTCTAAAAACGTTAGTGAGAGCGATGAACGGCTGCACAGCTTTACTTTGAATACTATTCTTAAAAAAAACAGATTATAGTTTCAAACTTTGAAAATAAGTTTCTACAGCCTGACTTTGCCAACAAACGGTGTGATCTTTCTGCTATGCGCCGACAACTCAGTGTGGTGGCAAACAATTTCAATATTGCTGAAAAAGACCAAAGCACAGCGGGTAGCCACCTGCATTATAACGTACGGTTAGAATCAATGTTTGGAATGAGCGAAATGATAGGCAGCTTTGCCGAAAAACATCAAATTACCTTCAGCACACATTTAGCGGAAAAAAGAACTCCACTTTCAGACAAATCTCATCTGAAACGCCACTGGCCAGGACACAGTACACCTTAACAGCCTGACGTTCTGTTTACAGACCTGACGTCTCCTTCGCCCGCCTCACCTCCCACGTAAGGAAACGGAGGGAGTAAAAAAACAAAACAACTTTTGTAGGTCATCAAAAGTTAATAAGATGATTGCCTACTTCTCATGTTTGTGTGTGCGACTGTAAACCTCTGATGCAGCTCTGTTCCTGCCTTGATTTCTTCATCACTCTCTGCACGTCTCATCGCCGTGTGTTGGGTCTTTGTATGTGTGTGCGTGTGTGTGTGTGTGTTTCCCTGAGTGGATGAGAGAGGCTGAGTGGCACAGAGCGCAACCACACATCAGAGGAGCCTCTTAACCACTACTTTTCCTCCCCCCCCCCCCCCCCCCCCCCCCCCCCACTTCCTCTTTGTTGCCGCGCTGAGCCTGCACTCTTGCCGTAGCTTCTGCCGAGGCCCGGCTGCTCTTTAAGGCCGCTTTGTGCTTCCATTCTTTTTTTTCTCTCTCTCTCTCTCTCGTTCTCTTTATTTTTTTCCGCTGATGTCAACAGAGTAGCTTCACAGATCTTCGTGCCTCTCTCGAACCCACCTCATTTGGGAAACCACAAAAAAGACGAAGCAAACTGAAGAGGAGCTGCGCGACACAGGACGGGGACAGCTGAGCTCGTCCCACCTCCTGCTCATCACGCCGTCTTGGCATCAAGGGAAAACACGGTTTCAAAGTTTCCCCCCTGCTCTCATAACAATGCAGAGAATTTGCCTTGTTGTGGTGACGGTTTGTGCTTTAATGCAGACCAATTAAATGCGCTTATATAGTTACATTCGTGGGCAAGAAGAGGTAAAGTCACCAGTAATGAGAAAAGCGCGCAGGTGTGTGGGGATGCTCTTCTATTTCATGTTTTGACTGACTGAAAACTCTCAGCCTTTTTGTTCTATAATAACTTGAAGGCATTAAGAGAGTTTTATTATGAACATTTACGCATCTGCGTTGGTGATACATTTGCATTTTTGTTTACGTGTGAATGTTGCAAACAAACATGTTTGTGCACTGCAAAGGATGAATGAAGTTTCTCTGCCCGTGCTGGTAGATATTATTCAAATAAAAATTGAGAAAAAACAACACTATTGAATTCAATTCTGTGCCCGTTTCAGAAGGTGACTCCTGTCGGAGAGAAGGTTGAGTTTTTTTTCTTTGCTGAGTTTGGATAGCCTCCCTTTTTCTTTTTGTTTCCTGGGAACTCTGCCATCCAGAAACACGAAAATCGGGTTGGGTGGCGACTCTAAATGGACCACGGGAGTGAGCGAATGTGGCTTTTTGTTTCCTTTGTCTCTATGTGTCTATACCAGTCTTTATGGCATCTAAATAAACAGAAAGTCACTGTCTGCCTGCTTAGATGTAAACCTTTATTTTTCCTTTGTATTTCTTTCTTTGCTGGACTAAAACATGTTGACACACGGGGAAAAATTGGGAAGGAGAGCTGGAGAATGACATGCAATAAAGGCCTGGCTGGAGCGAACGAAAGCAGGAACTCCCCTGGTGTTTGCGTTTAGGCCCAAAGGGTAAGATTGACAGTAGGTATTTCTAAAACTATACGTTTTGATTCTGTCCAACCTCAACATGGAAATCTTGGCTGATGATGATGATATATAATCTGATATTTTATTTGCTCAAGTTGATTTAACCACACCAGTCAACTGATTGAAAGAAAAAGGTTCCAAAAATCCCATTTGGAAATTCCACACATTTTTAAACTCACTTTTCCATATTTTCCTTTTCCTTTTCTGATTTCTGCCTTAATGTTTTTACTTAAAAATTTGGTTTAGTGCAGTTCTAAAATACTGGAGTCTGTGACACACAGTTATGGATTAACATACTGTTTGTCATTTTTTAAACACTTCAGCCTTCCCAATACCATAGAGCCGTGTGGCTTTCTGATAGTAGGAAAGAAAAGAAAGATACAGCCTGAATAATGACGCTAAGTGCTTTTGACCTGAGTCTGAGGTAGAGGCAAAAGCTGCTAAAAGAAGCCACTGTGACATGGAATAGAAAGGACAACCACCAACCTCACAATAAGTGAACAACATCGCTCCCTCACATGACACGATTTGTCCAACATCTGGTTTCCAAAACGATAAAGTTGAGAATTTTAACAGTGTGTCCCTGGCCAACAGGTGGCGTAAAGGTGCCCACGTTCTGCTTCCATTGAAAAAGATTTGGAAATAGTCTGGGTAAAAAAATATCGTCCCAACGTCTCGTCTCTTTTATCAATTCTAGCACAAACCAGCAAAAAATCTGATTATTGGCAATATCCCCACAATGGCACAAACTTGCTACACTGTCATATACTGAAGGAATTGTTTATGATTGTATATTTTGTTGAAAAATAATGATGATGTTAGTCTGGATTCTGACAATATATAGAAGTGGTAAGATTTAAATCCGTTATTAGGTAAAAACTTTTTTTTTCCTGAAAAAGTCTTTGGAAAACCACTGTTATCCTTTGCGATTACATCATACAGGAGTCCATCACTCACTGATAAAGGCACACTGCCACACACAAGTTGAGTGGTATGCTGCATCTGTGACTACAGAGAAGAAAAAAGCTGAGTCCTGATCAGGAAAGTGAGCTTAATGTCCATTGAATGAGCCACACCTTTGGCAGCAAGTGTTTTGAAATTCAAAGAAATGTAAGGTCCCAATTACAATTTTCAGATCTCACTTCACACTATGTAGTATTCATTCTGTTAGTAATGTTTCCATTTAAAGTTAATAAAGCAAACACGGTCCCTTTCATTTCCAAGGTCACACCTAGTTATGTTTATAGATCGCTTTCAACACATTAAAATTCTGAGCTGCACAAAGGAAAATGAAGGTTAGGGCACAGGCAGAAGTTGGCTGACTGGTTTTCAGGGATATTTCACAAATTACATCATTAAATAATTATACAAATAATCATGACCCACATTGTACAAACTGTTCTGCAATATTTTGCAGGTTGATTTTCTTTTTAAGGAGTGCACAAGTCAAACATACAATAATAATTCTCTTGGTTTTGCCACTGCATTATAAACCTGTGTATGTGTTTCCCACATTCTCCGAAAGGAAGCAAAGAGGACGCAGCTTTTGTAGTAAACTCAGATTAAGTGAAACATAACTTTATAAAATTTACAAAACCTACCAACAATAAGAATCCTTTTCCCACCACATGTCTTGCTGAACCGCGGCTTCTTTGTCAGGCTCATAAATTACAAAGGCAACATGACATACTATAGAAGGGAAACTCTGACCCTCTGCCGTGCATCTCACTTCATGCACCAGCCAGCCGAGCATGAATGACAAATATGATGAATGTGCCAAAAGCTGTTTGACTGCATGAAGCCAAGGGGAACATTATCTCCTACATTACTACCTTGTCTCCCCTTTTTCATCATTTAAATCTTCGCAGATAAAATATCATAAATATGATTACTTACAACAGCACTATGTTTTAAAATATATCAAACAAGGTATGAGTCATTTTAATGATTACCTGTACTTTGCCCTGTTGACTTTAGCAACAAGGTGCGAATACCTACTGGACCAAAACCATTTTTTATCGTTCATTTTCTTTAACTTTTGTGCCTATTTGTCATTTAATGGGTACATTGCAATGTCATCAACGGCACTTTTAATTGTGTTGGAAAGGAACATGAGCAGTCTGTTGCAATAGTTGGTTAGTATGTGAGCCCACAGGATTTTCGTTCTTCTTGTTTTGATGCTGTAAACTGGGATTTGATAAATCACCTCTTACAGTATGTTCAGTCTGATCCTGAGCATAACAAAGCAATCACATATTTGTATGCAGTTCATTAGAAGACTGAAGTCTGATTCCACTCATGGATGACTTTACCTATTAAAGTAAATCCTATAAAATCCATATTCTTTGTTTTTATCTGAACCAAACAACATATGTCAAATAACCTTAAAGAACCTTATCCAAAGAACTGTATAGTGAATAGTTTCTGTATGGAATTAACAACCACAAGCTAATTATCTGGGCAAAGAAAATATGTGGTTTAGTCATTTTAGAAGATGCAGTCAGGAAATTAGATTCACTGTAGCATTATAAGGTAATAATTTTCTTTACAAGTTATGCATTGGGTTCAGGACAAATTTAAGAATATACTGTGTACAGTGTGAGAGTGTTTGTAAATTTTTCATACCTTACAGGAGTCCAGTCTGTGCTGTGCAATGATAGAAACTTTTTCTACCACCGTCCGAAGCCGTGACTGTGCGGCATGTGAGATGAACGTAACTGCTTCCATGGGGACTTCTGTCACTCCGAACTTCTTGGCTGTCAGAGATATATGCAACAAACATATTTATGATTTATGATAGGGTACAGCTTTTTAAACCAGTGCATAATCTGTGACACCATTCTCTGCACAGACTTGGTGGAAACATGCTTCCTGGCTTATTGGATCGCAAGTGGTCAGCATTATGGATGCATGTTCACATTTGACTTTGAAATGATTCCCTCCATGTTCCCTGAGTGGATACTTCTAAACACTTGCTACAGTCTGCTGCCAGCTGAGCACCAAACAGGAAATCTGTGGATCTACTAAGTTTTCTGGAAAATCATGACTGAATAAAAGTGATTTGGTTATATCCCCTGCATTCAGAATTCATGCTTCTGCTTGAACATGTTTAAAACATCAAGTACCCTAAATCCCATTTTGTAGTCTGTGATGTCAACAGGCAAAGCGTTTGAGCAATGACGTTGCTTTTTGCCTATGATATAAAGGTGAAACTGTTCTTTTTTTTTGTTAGACTTTTGATCTAAGAGAGCTTGTAGACCCTATGCAAAAACTGGCAGAGCCCCCCACATATGAGGTGCAGAGATGCACAAGGCAAGGCTTAAAATATTCAGGCTACGGTGCATCAAAAGGAAAGTCACTCAGGTGGAAACTCCACTTCTTGCATGGGTTCAGATGACACGGTCCCAGAATGTGGCCTTGTACTGATTTGCATTAAACCAATCAAATCTGAATGCTTCCTCCATTTGTGTCCTGAGTGTGTTCACACGTTCATCAGAAAGACATTTTCTGATGATGAAAGACGACTTCCGTTTTCAAATAATCAAGAGATAAAGTGATCATCGCTGCACTTGCTTCCATGGTTTTGCATTTTAAACGAAAACATCCACAAACACCCATTGCACCTTCATAAGAACGAGCACTCAAGAACTAAAATGAAAAACATCCCATGTCCATCCACACTCAATGTAAAATTCCCATATTCGCAGAGGAAATGTAGAAATTAGTACATGCAATTAGCTCCTAGAGAGAGGACTCATCACACAGAAAAGTTAATTTATTCACAGCCTTAGTGAATTCAAGAATTCCAGTTTTACCCGCTAAGGCCCTTCTAGTGTATAAGCGACAATGACCATCTCTTTTCGGAGAAGGATAATTTAGTTTCCTTGGAGCGAAACTCATCTGAAGTCATAACAAAAGAGAGGAGGACAGACTTTGGAAGGGTTACTATCTGTCTCCAACTTCCTTTTAAATTATTCCATTAACATAATTTTCTCTCTGGCACCCTTTTAAGTAAACCACACCAATTATTTAAATCAGCTGAACAATACATACACTCCTCACCCACTCAAGCTTTGAAATAGATGGAGGGAGCCCTGTTAGCCTTATAATTACAGTAGCAATACATGTGGCAATGTCACAAGGTCACAGAAAAGCGCTAATAGGCTTCTACTCCACAAAAATATGGGTCTTTTGAGTACATTAATATTTCAGAAAAAGTTTAAGAGACTCGGACTAATAGAGCTAAAAAAAACAGTTTTCAACTCGCACCGATTCTAATCAGTGTTCTTCAACTGGAAAAGGAACAAACTAATGATCTCCGCAGTTTTAAGATAGCAGGAATGACACGCACTAAAGGTTGTAACATTTCTAACTACACGGACATTTTTTACCCGCACGGGACCGATCTCCACTTTTGCCACGATCCTGATGGCAGCATCGGCTGATTCCCGCCTTCGGCTTGGATGGAAATATTTCATAATTCATACATATCCCTATCAGATTTGGTACAGACCCTCCCCATAGCCCCCCTTTGTAACAAGCAGTGGTTATCATTAGAGGCAGAGAGGTAAAACAACTTCAGAGGAAGGTGATCTCAGCAGGGTTGAACGAGATACTTTCTATATGCAGTTATCCACAGTTTTTTATGCTTTGGTGTGAAAATGCTAAGTTTTGCTCCGTTGAACACCATTATGGAGTGAGACTCTTACAGAGGCCATGGCACTGAAGAACTCAGGTCCCAGTGTCCATTTCAACCCCATCTTTTACAAACTACACACGGGCATTGAAGTTCTCTTCAGCAAACACGGACAACATTTACATTGGAGTCGTGCCTTGTGCATTGTTGTTTCCTGTTCAATCCCATCTGCATATATGTCTTTGCTGTTTACAAAACTATCCAAAGTGTGCGTTTGCAACACAACTTTGCTCCTAAAATGGTCAACCACTCATTGACCGTTGAAACACTGCTCTTTATTGTTCTCTACTCATTATCTGACTGACTGCCAGGCCAAACTCTTGATATGGTTTTGTAGTATTTCCAAACTGATGAGCGGTGACATTCATGTTGCTAAACTCCTAAGTAAATCCTTTTCTAAACACTGTGATACACTTCGGCTTATTGTATACGTTGTAAAGACCCGCCCTTTGAGAAAAACAGGACATCCACTCTGAAAAGATCGACATATTGATTGGAACTGAATTCCGGGTCATTTTTCTCTATGAAAAAAACATGTATATAGATCAGAAGTTTCTCATATAATCTAACCTCTCTTTCATCTAGTTGTGGGACTTTTGTGTAACTCTTAAAATGTTTAAGGCTATACTTTTAGAGTTTTCAAAAGGCATCTATGAACTTTCGGGGACCTCTATTTGTACACAAGCGTGTGTGTGTGTGTGTGTGTGTGTGTGTGTGTGTGTGTGTGTGTGTG